TAGGAAAAATTTCTTCACCAAAAGGGTTGTCAAGCATTGGAACAGGCTGCCCGGGGAAGTGGTTGAGTCCCCATCCCTGGAGGTATTTAAAAGACGTGTAGACGTGGTGCTTAGGGACATGGTTTAGTGGTGGACTTGGCAGTGCTAGGTTAACAGTTGGACTCAATGATCTTAAAGGTCTTTTCCAACCTAAATGATTCTATGGTTCTATGAAAAGGAAGGGACATCCACATTTGTCTCAAGTTACCAAGAAGTCTGCTTGGTAATGACTTCATCATTTTTAGACAAGTGTTTTTGGCAGGTGTCTGCACTTGTGTGGGATCACACATGAACATCTGCATTGCTGAAAATTATCTGCTCCAACACTAACAGAAGAAAGAACTGGAGAAGCTTCATATGTGCAATATTTATTGCACCGAATCTGAAGATAGATTTGATCTCTTGTACAGGTGTATCAAAGTATCTAACCTGGTCATTATTGCTCTAAGGGAACAAGATTCTATCAAGGTCCTGCAGATCTGACTCCAAATGCAACTGCTCTTACTGACGACAAGCATCTCCACAGAAGAAAAAAAAAAGGCTGAGGAAAATTCATGCACACAAGAAGTAAAACACTGGACCATACAGACAAAGTGACAACTCCTTAGTCAAATCACAGGTATCAAATAATTTCCTACAGACCTCTTTACCTAGCATGAATGAATAAGAGGCCATAAAAAGATGACAACATGGTTTTAGCCCAAATCTCCTGACAGCAAAGAGAAAGTTTGGGTTGCTATTTCCTTCACTAGCAGATTTTACATTAATGTTCTTTTACCAGTGGTCTCTTTCACCCAACCAGTCAGTCATACTGAGCTACCAAAATCTGACCAGTAAGAAAGTCTCCTTCCTTTGAGAAAGATGGTCATACATGAATGCTGGTACTAAAGTTTTTAACCCTGGTTTATAGCTGAAGTTTAGCTTCAGTAGCTAGTTTGTTTTTGCCCATCACGGAGTGCAACTTTCATTTCTGGCATAAATAAATGAATTGTGATTACTACAATACAAAAATAAATCAAGATTGTTAGGAAAACTTTATAGACAAATGACAATATCACTGGAATATAACTTAGAAGTTTTGCTAAATCATGCAGATGGTTTTAAAACCCCTTCCCATCTCACCACAACTTCTGAGGTGGACACAAGTCGTTGTATTTCAGTTCTGTGAACCTTCTCACACAGTGAATGCAGTTTTAACTTTTCAAATAGTACCTATAGTAAGAAAAAAAACACATAAGAGAAATGTTTCAGTGTTTCAAGTGCTGAAACAGAAAGGAAAATTATTTGGTGCCTGAACTTAAGTCTAGAAAACAGATTTCAAGAAAATAGAGCATACTGTAGCAAAGAGAACTAACACAGAATTGAAAACATCAAATCTTTATTTCTGAGCTATTGAAAAAGTAGTGTATTTACTAAAGTCAAATGCATAATTTATGTAAATACAATCAAATACAGATTATCCAACATTGTTATATTTCTGAAAAACTCCTATGTCCTCCATTAAAATCAGAAAGTAAGATAATATCAAAGAAAAATAATTCTGAAGTTGTAAGGACAATTTTATATGCTTTATAATTCTTCTGTATCAATAACAATTTACAGAACTTAAAATTTACATAATAGTAGTAGTAGTATAAATATTACCTCTCTGAGTTGACTACTGCTGGTCAAAAGGAATTGTTCTCCAGCAACTTGGTGAGCTTCCTGTTCAAGCTCTTTGAGTCTCAACTATAAATTAGTACATCAGAATTATTCGGTTTATATTATTTTCTTCAATATCTGCTACTTCCTCGGTTAGCGAGTATATTGGACTTCTATTTAAAAATAGGGTATTTGATAATTTGTGATCATTGCTGGCTATCAACATTTGGTTTAGTAGATTGCTTATATACTCTTTAATCTATATTTCTTCATCATCTGGGAAGGGGATTTACTGTAGTAAAAAGTACCAAAATTTGTGGGAAAATAATTCAGGTTACTGAAGACTTAGAGATCTGTGAGAAACAGAGCTATGCAAATTATTCTGGTAAATTAATAATCTGTCAGACCACTATGATTATGTAGTCAGATTTTATGCTACAAAATAGGATTCTCTTGTAGCTGTTTTTTATCAATGGGGAGATGGCAAACTTAGAACTCTCAGAACACTTAAGTTGTAAAGAGTGTTTTATTTACAAAGAGAGATAAGAAATATCTATCACTTCTCAGGAAGATGGTTACTCATAACTGTAAGGCTAATGAAGCAAATGTCTCCTTTTTGCTTGCCTAAATAAATATGGAAGTATCCTAAAATGGAAATATCATTAGTTATATTTATAATAATAAAAATACTAGAAACCACAAACTGTCATGTAAAACGTGACAAAACAAAAAGATTCCTCCTCTTTTTAATCAGTTATCCTCAGTAAAAGCAGAAAGATGATGCTATACAATTTCCAAAAGAAAAAATAAAGACAAAATTTACCCCCAGAATCTCTGATGTTTTTTTCAGTTCTTGTTTGTTCACATGTATTTTGTGTGTTTCCATCACTGTAAATACAATTATATACTGAGAACACTTACAATTCACAATTTCAATTTTATATGCTTCTTAGACTGTAAACTGGAAACAAACTCACACAGCTGTTATGAGGCTAAGATAACATTTAGTATTCTGAGGTATAACATTTTACTTGCGCATAGTCAGCAGCTGTGTGAAAATAGTGAAGATTCATATTTTGAACTGAACTTTCATACCTGCCAGAATTTTGATAAGTGGAAGCTCTAATGTGCAAAATAATTTCCACAAACCTTGAACCTGTAAAGCAAGATACAAATAAATTCTTCAGTATCAGCCAATTTTAATCTTAAAACATATAGTAGTGTCATTATGTGGATCTATTTTCCAGTAAGCAGTATTTCACTGTCTGTATAATCCCTATTTATATGAAAACACTGTTTGCGGAATGAAATTCTTCTTAGTGTGAATTATAGTATCTAAATACTGTAGTCCATTATCACTTCATTTTGTACAGGAATAGTAATACATTTTGTAATAATTTTTTACAGAAATAGTAACAAAGAAATATACACACCTTATTTTTCTAAACGGTTTATTTTTAGAGCAAGCTCCATTATAATAGGACATACAGTTATCCCTTTTTCTTTATTTACTTGAACAATTAAGCAACCATTCAGAATTCATAACTTTGTTTTCATTAGGAAGAAAATAAAAGATGATGGGATTACGTACCCAATTTAGTTACAAAGAACAGGAAGTCTGTTTTTTCTCTAACCACTGAAGCAATCAGACAGTAACACTTGTCTAAAAACTCCTCCTGTAGGCTGGCTCTCAGTGTTTCTGTGCCTTTGGTGTTTCCCTGTTGCCTTCCTTCACAGATTGTTTCATCATACGGCTGGACCACTTAGATATCCAGATTAATATGGCTCCATCAACTAATGGTCTAAGCCCTACACTCGCTACCATCAATTTTAAGGAAAAACCCTAGGATTCTATGATGTACCTTCCACCAGAACCTAAGCATATCCCAAAATTCTGACACTTTTGCAGGTATATGATTACAGGGAGAAAACAAACACACAGAAAAAAAAAAGACTAAAAGACTTCTTCAGATGCATTCTGAACTGCAATAAGGGCTAAAATAGAAGGAAATAGTTCAGTTGGAAGAGACCTACGACGATTATCTAGTCCAACTGCCTGACCACTCCAGGGCTGACGAAAAGTTAGAGCATATTATTAATGGCATTGTCCAAATGCCTCTTACTGACAGGCTTGGGGCATCGACCACCTCTCTAGGAAGCCTGGCTAATACAACCTAGAGCAAAAGATATGCCAGGAGTTTTTGTACCCAAGGAATAAATAAAAAAAAAATCCAGCTACACTCTGTTTTAACTCTGTTAACTATTTTTAGACTGTTTCATATAGCTTTAAAATACCAAAAGAAAAGTCACAATATTCTGGACATTTCCCATTCTTAGAATCTTCATTTAAATATTTAGTTAACTGTTGCAGAGGAAAAGTCTCTTCTAAAGATTAACCTTGAGACTAACCATTTCCTCCTTCTAGAAAAAATGGCAATTTTGATGGGCAACCAGCACTGTAAACTAGTAAGGATTGAAGCCTTCTATTTAACTCAAATAGAGATTCTGATTTGAATAAGAAGCACACCACTAACTCTTTAATTCATGATAATACCTCCAAAGTTATATCCAAGTAACTACTTTTTATAGCTTACCTGTAAGTCATGAGCAAGATCCATCATTACATTATAAAGCTTCTCCAAGTTCACACCTAAGTTTTGATACTGACAGAAATAATTTTTTTAAAAATCAAGTTTTAATGCTAACAAAAATATTTAGAATACTATCTATTTTAAAAGGGATTAAACTATATAAATATATTTTTCTGTATGTCTCCTGTTATATTTAACATTTTAGTAATGTTCTTAGACCTCTGACAAACAATTCATGAACAGAGCAGTACAGATCATGAATATTCAAGATTTTACCTGTTCCTTTATTTACATTTTGCACAGACCGAGTATGGAGAAATAGTATCACTATGCTGCCTTTGACATTGAAGTCAGAATTCTATTACTACTTGTAAAATGAGGAAAAATTCCTTGCAATTTTCTTTCTCCTATCAGTACTGCCACTCTTCTCTGCCTGAACTATTCACTTCCTTCCCTTCTGTTCCAGAGGTGTTCTGCACAGAGCCATGCCACCTCAATTCAGTTGGCTAGAAGACCATTTTGAAATGCATACAGACACTGACAATATGATCATTAGCTCCAAGAACATGATCACTAGAAATAAACTTAATGTCAACCTATTAAATGTGTTTATTGGGCTAATACACAAAATGTAAACAATAAACTGCTGCTTTTCATTACTAAATTCCTGTGAGGAAAGATGGGAATGTGAAAACGCTGCATGTAGATTTTCTTTCCTGCAGCCTGTATCTTCAATGATGGCTGAACAATCAAAAAAATTATGGAATAAACTTACATCCAAGCCATTAAGTGCAAAAACACTAGCAATGTCCCATAAAATTCCTGAGCCACGAACCATAGAACCTAGGACAGCATTCCCGAAGACTAAAGTTATGCGCTTGTCTGTCCATATACTCTTCCCCAAGAATCACATACTGGTCTGTGTTGGAGGCAGGAAAATAGGTTACATGCAATTAAGTATGACATGTTATGATAGATAGTTTTTAATGTAAAACAGTGAAATTAAACTAAGGGTTATTTGTGTAAAAGGAGGTATTTACTCTGTGTTGATAAATACTTCTGAGGATATAGCTGAAGTATTGGGGCAACTTGGCCACAATACTTTCAGACAGACACTAAGAAATGTCAGATAGGCTAAAGAAGAGAACCAAAGATAATAGTAAGTTTAGAAAACATGACCTACAGAGAAAGATATTAATCGGGTTTATTTAGTTTAGAAGAATAAGTTGAAGGAGGTGAACATAACAGTTTTTATAAAGAGAATCATATATCAATTATTTTCACGTACACTAGGTGTAGAACAATTGGCTTAATGGAACCTGCTTAATCTGCAGACTACAAAATTTTTTCATGAAGTTAGACTATTATCTCTAAGGGACAGTCCAGGTTTTGATTGCTTCAAAAATATTTTTAACATTTTCTTGTTTATCTCTAGATTGCAGACTTCATTGCTAACCACATAAAAAAATAAACTTATCAGTTTTTAACCCCATCTCCTCCTAGTTTCATCAAATGACTCACAGCTGTAGTACTGCAGGATTTGCTGAATAGCACCACTGCATTCACTTTATCCACTACCTTCATAATAATTTAGAAAACTGCTAGCATAGTGCCCTTCAGTCTTTCCGTCTCCATCTAAAATAACCACAATTTTTTCCACATCCTCCTTATAAAGCAGCTGTTCCATCCTCTGACCTTTCAGAAGCCCACTGTGCCTTTATTGAGGCAGAGACCAAAACTGCAGTCTTCAAGACATGGGTGCACCAAGGTTTTCTATGGCAAAAAAATCACGTCCCTTTTCTTGTTCTCAATACCTTTCCTTTGGCTGCTTATATTTTGTTGGCTTTTTGGCTGCTGCTACACATTGAACCAACATAAAACTGACAACACTGATTCCAAGATCTCTTTGTAAATTGAAACTACTCTGCATGCATTACTTTCAATTTGTGCTCGCTCAATTTAGTGAGATCCTGTAGAGTTCCATACTGAACTGCTGAGCTCAACATCTGACTATCCAAAAAGGTAGATGTGAGATTCATCTGACATGAGGCATTATTCTTTTAAGGACAATTAAGACTTCTAAGAAAGATTCTAGTATAGTTCTGGTTTTATATAATAAATGGGAAGGGAAAAAAGAAGAAAAAAACCCCTGAAAGGAAAGACTGACGAGAGAAGTCTAACAAGGAAAACCTGCATTAAACCCCATAAGACTATGGAATTTTGAGCAAGTACAGAAACCCAGAACACAAGATAATTATCCCAGACACAGTGCAGTACTGATTGCAGATTCCTGTCCATGATAGTTGGGGGATGGAACACAACAAAATCAATAGCAAGTAGAACTGCAGGATGCCTAAGCTTAAATTCACATTGTCAAGCATAAAATACTAATGTACATCACATGGAAGACTCATCCGAGCAGAAATCAATTTTGAGGCCAATAGAATCCTAACCACTTTAGAAGATAATCTGGTAACACTCACTGTTTCTTTCTCAACAGCCACATTGCTGGAGATTGACCTAGATTTGGCTAGATTCCTGGTGAACAGGGTATTCCAAGATCATTTCTACTAAATTAATACACATAGGCAGGGTTGAAAATAAATTTAAAACCTGCTTCCCAAGTGAATTACATCTTTCTGTCAAGGATAGCAAAAAAGTTTAAAAAAGAATACATTGACAGGAAACCAAATGGCCATGAAAACACGTGGAAAGTTTCTCAATTGAAAAAGCACTGAGAGGGTTCCTTGGGCATCTTGCAAACAATCTATCTTCAGGTTTATCATTCACCCTATGTATACTTTAAAGGAATCCTAATTATTCTGCACTCACTTTATTATTTGCATTCCTATCTTGGAGCTGATGGGACACTAAGAGAGGCTCTCATGCTATGAACTGCAGAAGTCTCTCTTTCCTCTACAGATCTGCAGCTGTTTTACAGGTTTCTTACCTTACTGCTCTCATGAAATACCTACTGCTGGGAGAAAAAATCTGCTCCAAAGGGAATATATTCTGCTTTCTCCACTCAAACTGAGCTAGAAAGCGTTTTCCTTACCAGAGTAAGCTCTCAGAAGCTATGCTACCAAATCTGACTTTGCTGCCCATTTCAGTTTCATGATTTTTATTTGATATATTCAGAATCTTTCCTTTGGTCCTTCTGTGATGAGAAGGAAAGAAAAGGACATTTCTACTTGTTATCAGATTTACACTCTCCTCTAAGATTGCATAAAAAATGAAGACAATGCTTCCATTTGAATGAAACATCCAGTATTTTGTAAAGAACAAAACCAGGATTCTATCATCCAGAAGAGTATATGCAATGTAACTAGATGTGATATCACTCAACTAAACTGGATGTCATTAAGCTATGAATTATAGACTAAAACAGGAAGATTGCCACTGAAATTGTTTCCAAGAATATTTTCTTAAGAACAGGCCTGATGTCAGAATACTATGGTCCTCCAGGGCTTTTAATCTGTCCAGCCAGAACAGTAGTTCTTTTGAAGAAAAAGCAGGTAAGAATAATTGAAGTGGTTGAGAAATCTTCAAAATCCTTCCTAAAGGAGGGTCTATATAGTCTAAACAGATCTCCAAATTAAGGATTTTTCTAAAATAAAAAAAAAATATTCGTATCAAAATTAACAGACAGGGGAGGATCTTCCTCTCTCTTCAGCGAGGTAAGGACCCTTCTGAGTTTGTGAGAAGGTATCTCTGGACACCTTTTTCCATCTGAACAGGGTCTTTTGCAGGAATTGGTCCCTGAGCTAGATGCCATTATCTCCTCCTTGTCTTCAGGATGACTCTCAGAACCTCCTGGCTGTGTTTCTAGGGAGTGAGGGTAGGCACAGACTGAGACACCAGTACATCTAAACACTTGATCCTGTGCCCTCACAGTAAAAGAGGGGGCTGTAAATCAACAGGTGAACATAATCCATCCTCCAAACAGTGTATGAAAATCTGCCTTGTACACAAAACTCACAATTTTGGCCTACTGTTTGCAAAACAGCCCCATAATTTGGAGAAAAACAGAAGTCTGGAACCAAAGCATTACAGCAGATGCAGACTGACAAGAGCAATGCTTCATCCATTATTTGATCCAAACAGAATGCAGAAGGAATCCAAATTACTTGTTGCTGCAGAAACACAATAGAACCAGAACTGACTGAAAATTAGTTTATATTAGGACAAATTATAATACATTATTGCTACAGAGGCATGCATTCTGGTACACAGCTGGGGAAGAACCACCACAGAAACTTTATCATATTGGTCCAACTAATTTTTAAGAGACATGCTGAGTGCAACAAGCATAGGAGACACCTATTAGTTACAAGAAGTTATGTTTCATGCTAAAAACAGAACTACCAGAGTTTTGGGGTAATCTATGCTGCAGACACATTTTCCTACCACATACCATAAAACAAAGGGGCACTAGTGTTGCAGTCATTCAGAACACGCTTAAGCCTGGACCGTAGTTGGTTTTATCTTGAAATGACCATATGACTCAAGATAACAGCAGATAAAACTGAACAGACTCTACGTAAGCTGATGTCTGTTATTGGGAAGCATATCTCAGCAAAGTCCCAGCAGCAGAAAAGAGTTAAAATGGGGTAATCCCCAACTACGCAAGGGGGGCTATTAGTCTATACAACTTCAGCATTGTTTGTGTGGGTCATTTGTGAGTAGACGATATGAACGCCTACTGTACAGGCTTCCCCTTGGCCTACAGCAGACTTGAACACTGCAAGACTGAGAAACGGTAGGCCCTTGAAGGTAGCATACAAACGGCTCTCTTCAAAGCTGAAATATCTGGATCCACTGGTGGTCATCCTTGTTTTATAAGTCTAGTCCTATCAGTGAGGACTTCTCTCTACCCCAGACAGATTAATTTAATGCCCGTACTCCAGCGAAAAGCCATCAACCTGTCTCCAAGAAACCTTGTCCATACCCACTGGTTCTGAAACAAACGGGCTGTCTGAAATACTATGCTTTCAGCAACAGACAGCTTACTTGATCCCATTCTGGAGGTGGAAGTAAGCCCAGTGACAGGCTTCAACTGACACTGAGATTCCTCATCAGCAAATGCAGCAATGACAAGAGAAGTATGATGTTTAGCACCTGTTTCAGCAAAGGTTTCAAGGTATATGGACTATGGCTCCTTTTACTGAGCCTTTTGGCACAGCATCAAATACACAGAGAAGCAGCAAGTAGCACACATTCTATGCTAGAGAGGTGTGTGGATGAGTAGCGGGCTACAGAATAAAATAGCAGTCATTCCAAGTACTACGCCAGGTGGACAAGACTAGCACAATACAGAGGGAGCTTAACTGAAGTAGTGGGGCACAAGACATGATATATCACCTGACGTGGATCCCTCTGGGAGTACGGACAACTGTTAGGAACCTACCCGTAAAGTCAGAGCAAGAAGGCTGAAGAGGTAAACCTGGCAAAGAGCTAGGATTCACAGGAAGAACTGGGACTCAATGAGCAAACAGAGAAGCCAAAAAGAAAGTGGGAGAGTCCAGGGAACAAATTAATTGCATAAGGACTGGGAGGGAATAATCACAGGATGTTAGAGGGAGGCACTAACTGGGACTTGGGTGAACAAGTCAGCATAAAGGCACTGGAGATGGTTGGGGCAAGGAAACAAACTAGACCTGAAGTAGGGCAGGAAGGAAATAAGACTTCAACATTTAACTCAGAGCTGGGAATCAGGATGACAAAGTTGAGAAATGATAACTAAGAATAGATGTGATATATGAAGAACAAAAGACTGAGTCAAGCTAGCGAAAGACAAAAGGATGCTGACTCACAGGAGGGGACATCACATAGAAATAGCCAACAACTTTATAGCTTCTGCCTGTTCGCCTGT